TATACAGGATAAATAGTTAAATATAGTGAAGAGACTTGACGCAAATGGCATTGCATGTTAAGTCCAGTAGTTCAGTGGGTTAATGTAGCAAACTGACACTGAAACCCAAACACAATACCCATACCCAAACCCAAACCCAAACCCAAACTCAAACCCAAACTCAATACCCAAACCCAAACCCAAACCCAAACTCATATACCCAAACCCAAACCCAAACTCAAACTCATATACCCAAACCCAAACCCAAACTCAATACCCAAACCCAAACTCCCAAACGGTTTGGGTTTGAGTTTGGGTTTGGTGCATGCCTACTTCTTATAAATACTTGTCGTCAACAAATTGGGTGTGGATATGGGTGTGATGTAGGATTTTGAGTGAGTGTGGGAGTGGTTGTCGTTCTTGTTTTCATTGATATCCACACCCACACCCACACTCATACCCGCATTCTGTTTGTAACTGAAGGTTGACTCAATTACTGGAGTAGCACAAAAAAGAAAAAAAAATATTTTGAAAGATTTTCTTCCCACTTTATATGTAAAAGAACAGAGTACGTGAGATGAGGATACGGGTGTGAGTCTTCACTTCTTCTAAACCCATATCCGCACCCTCAACAAATCCGCCTTTCTAACTATTTTTTGAGAAGACGAGGCGATGGTAGGGTGACTTCTTAGCTGCCCTATCCATCTTTGATATTGATCGATAAAATTGTTTTCGGCAGGCAATGAACAGAATAGAAATAATAATAAAAAAACTGGAGAGACAATGGATTTTATGATACAACTTTCTTATTGCCTCAGTAAAACAATCAGTAAGAATTTTAGTTTTATTGCTACAAGTCGTTAATATATTAACATATTATAATGGATGGTGTAAAATTTCTACATTGAAACTCGCTTTTAGGATAGCATTGTAATGGAATATCGTAGAGATTTAATCTCTTTCGGGTGGGTGTGGGTGTTATACAATAGAAGACTCATACCCATCCTAGTTTCATATTTTTCCTATCTGAAATTATTTCTAAAGGCATTGTGGAAATTAGGATGCGTAAAAACTTTAGTTGGGCGTGGTGTTCGAGGTGACTTAAGTGATCAATATCCAAAGCAAAAACAACTTATCAGGTGGGGAGTTTCGTCATGCACAATGTCATCGGATGTTTTACAGTCACAAGAATTTCTCTGCGAAATAGGAACTCGCATTCTGTTTAATATCAAATGTTTTAATGGAAATAATTTTGTTTCAGATTAGCTTTTTCGAGCAAATACTCTGCAGAAACGTCAGATGAGGTTCACTGTTTCCTCTTCTTAGATGCATATTGAGGAAAAAAACAATAAAAATCAACTTGCAATTGATATGATCTGATTAGTTGATGTTAAATTATAAATTTGATGTAGCATTGCTAATCGTACAGATGAGCACTGATGATATTAACTGAAGATAGCCCAATTGGTGATTTTATTTGTTTACACTGATCTATTTTAATAGAAAAGTCCTAAAACCGAAATGGCACATGTCTTATTTTGTTCAAATACTCAATTATGAGAATAAATGATTGTATTTTTTCAACGTATGATTACCATAGTTCTTTTTTCGTCGACTTTTATTTCCTTGGAAAAATAATATCAAGTTGTAGAATAAAATGATTCTTACCTAAAAATATCAAAAGTAAAGCATTTCTAATTTTACTTCACTTGACATGTCATTCTATGTTTATTTGTATTCTGTTTTCAATATTCATGGGGTAAAATTTGCTTATGACTTTCGGCGAAAGACCTTCCATCAGAAGTAAATGTTTTGTCGGCATTTTCCAAGTAAAAATATTTGACATACGTTTCTAAGAATGAATCAAGGTAAAGGACACCTGAACGAAAAATATAAAAAGGTAAGAATAAACAGCATACGTTGCTTCCTTCTTTCATTTAGACAAAAACCAAACGAAACATTCATTCCTTTCGTTTCGTCATAAACATTTGACTGCCAGGTGTAGAATAATCATGACAAGCAATGCATCAATGACAATTTCATCAATAGAAGAAGGGAGTATTGATCGAGATCGTATTGTTGATGGTGATCTCGTACCTGATGAATATTTTTGTCCAATTTGTCAATATCTTTTATGGAAACCATGTTCATGTTCATCTTGTCAACATCTTTTTTGCGAAAAATGTATTCGAATATGGTTAGAAAATTCAAATAATGGAAATAAATGCCCATTTCGATGTCAACCATTTAAAGATCGACGTTGTCCACCATATTTTCAATCATTATTATCGCGTTTAAATATTCATTGTCGAAATTCATCATTTGGTTGTAGAGAAATTCTCTCATATGATACATTGGAACATCATGAAAATGTTCAATGTCAATATTTGACTCAACGATGTTCGGAATGCGAAAAATTGGTACTTATATCATTACTTGATGAGCATCGACAAATCCTAGGATTTTGTGTTCCGCAGCCAATCAAATGTACTATTTGTCAAAATCATATCGAAAAATCTGCTTTTAGAGAACATTTTCATGAATGTTGCCAAAACAGAATAAATGAATTAAATCAACTGGCGTCTTTACGTCAAAATTTACAAACATTATTACATGGTCAAGGCATAACAACACCTAATCCTGCATTGACATTTTCCCAAACTGTAGCAAATACAGTGCAACTAGTGGAACAACAAAAACAAATGTCACAATTACCAACAAGTTTAAAAGGAGTTGATGTGATTAGACGAGCACGAGAACAGTATTGTGGTCATCTTTATCACATATTGATTATGTTGAAATTTATTTTACTTAATTGGTGAAAAATTCCATTTTTTTTATATGTACTTTCAATGGGTGGTTTTTTTGCAGTTGGAATTCTCATCCTCGGTGGATATGTTATTTTCTCTCATTGGGCTTACACACATATTTATTGTGGACCTTGTTTTATTATCTTATTAAGTTATCTTTTAAGTTATGGAACTTCGGTATTTTTTCAATATGCTTCCGATTCAACTATTATTTTCTCTTTTGCAATGTTTATATTTCTTTGGGGTTGTACAAGTAGAGCACCATTAGAAGTACTTGAGATAGATTATTTATTTAACAGAGCAGCACTCAATGTTGTTCTCTATGGTGTAGCGATATTGATAATGAAGATAATATTATTATCAATTTGATTCTATTATTTGTCTATGCCAATATATGTCGCTGTAAGTCTTCTGACTTTTCCCAATTTTTATCTGTCATTTAAGACTCATCTTTTTTATTCATATACAATTGCTACAACTATGAATCAACCAATATTGCCTGTGTAAAATGCTATCTAATAAATACATAATCTAACTCTCGTCGACTTATACAAAGGTGAATATAAGTTTTTGACCAAACAATGGGACATATGTTCGTTTGTAAAGGAAGACTTCTTCTATTAGATGGGTGGGTGTGGATGGAGTATACGGATGCGGCTGTGGCTATGACTGTTGTGTTCTTTTACACCGAAGCCCATACCTACATCCATAGATTCCGTATTCCTTCGTTTTACAGTTTTGAAAAATTTTTCATTAAAATTTCATAAAGCATTCTTTTAAAACTCAGCACATATTAATCAAAAGTTCAAATTTAAAATATTTGAATTTTCGTTTCTCATAAAAAATTAATTTCTCAATATCATACTCAACAAAAATTTTAATTTTTAATTCTATATCATTTATCTTTGCAAATGAGAAGTGGCTTTCTACAAGTGCTCAGAAAAAATGTTGAATTCATGTCGACGAAGAGAAGAAAGCACAATCGATAGCTTGGTAATTAATATTATCTATAAGATAACATGTTTACTGTATGACACTAGAATGAACTTTCAACTATCTGCCATTTGACGCAGCCCCGACGCTCTTGTCAATGTCTTATTTTAAAAGAAAGTCAGTCACCAGAGTATGAAAGCAAAGCGTTGGTATGTGTATCATGCCATATCTACGACATTCATACATTCAAAAAATGCTAGAACAACAACTTTCTTTAGCAGTGATTGAAGCATTACGTAGATAATTTTAGGAAGAAAGGAGGTTAAGACATTAAATATTCATGATAATTCGAGACAGAAAGGAAGTCGCCTAAGGATTACGTAATCCATTGAGAAACCATATCTACGTTGTTGAATGTTAGGTTAACCAGTTTTATAACCGATTTAAGCTACTCGATTGATGTGGAATACAATGTTTTTCATTGAAAATGTATGTACACTGTTTTGGCAAATAGTTTCAATGATTTTCCGAAGTGCTTAAAAAAACATATATATAGCTGTTCGTCTCGTTCAAAAACAAATTGAGGTCTGTCACTTTGGTAAATTTTTCCCTTTAACGTATGTTAAAAAGCAGCCTATGTGACACTTTTAAATCTATTGCACGCAGTTTTTCCACGCTACTATTTTACGCTCAGTACGAGTGAAGTTGCGATGTAATTTGGAAGTGACAGAAAACACAAGTTTGCTCATGACAACAACCATGTGTATCTCAAACATTCGTTCGCACATCGTGAATAACCACGTGATTCTCTTTTCAAACACTTGCTCATTATGAAATTTTTATTCATCTCGTAATTTTTTCCCCATTCTAATATAAATGTACACAATGAGGTCATAACCGTCCTACCACGCTTGATTTCGCCTCTGCCATCGTCATCATGATTCAATGTATGTTTGTACTGCAGCTATATTTATGAGGCAATATGAGTGTAATCGAACACTTTTTCTCCATGCGAACGGAATTACTATCTCTTACGACGAAAAGAAAAAATATGCACTGATATGTGACACAACATTAGGCATAGTGAGTAATATTAAGGAAGAAAAACGTACTGTAAGCGCTTCAGTCGGTGAAAGATGACGTCATTTTATAAATAAAAGTCATATTTTAGAGTTTCCTACTTCTGTAAATTGCATATACTATTTGTACTTTGTATGCAAACGCATAATTTCAATATTGAGTAAGAGATACATTTCGTAACATAATATCGTATTGATAAAAGGACGGCAGTACCATACGTCTGAGTCTAAATCCATGATAGGTAAGTTCGTATACATCAAGTTGTTTGCTTTACTATAGAGAATTTCTGAAATAAAAAAAAATCGATTATGTGTACTATACATCAGTGTGAGAGTTTTTACATTAACAAATGTTTGTACTAGATTTGAATTCCTCTAATCATCTATTGGCAGAGTATTTTGAGCGATTTCTTTATATATAGTGTTCACCATGTGACAATCTTCGATGATCGCAGCTGATTGTTAAACTATGTTCAACTTTCATTAGAAAGTTGTCGATTTTATCCTTTTCAAAAATGATTTTATAGTAAAGATATACTTTCTCCATTTGCAGATTAATAGTCAATATCATTAGCGTTTATGTCATTGCCCACTAAAACGCTAGAGTGTGACTGCCGTCGTTGTCATAAATGCGGCAAATGTCGGAATCATGGTGCTCGTGTTGGTGCTCGCAAGGGTGCTGCAGCCGGTGTTTTGAGTATAGGCGCCTTTGCTGGTGTCTCTGTTTTGCTTGTAGCCTTTTTGGGTCCGTTCGGTGCTACTGGTCTTATTGTTGCTGTTGGTTGTGCTGCTCTTAGCACTGTTGGTGGCGCTGCTGTCGGTGCTGGTGCAGGTGCTCTTTTCGGTTCTGTTGGAGCCAAATTTTGTGAAGCTGGTATATGCAAATGTCGTGGCAAACGTAAAAGAATACTATAGTTTTTTTTCAGCTTTACTTGTTTCAGGGATCTGTTTTATTATATAATTTGTATATATTTAAAAATAAAGGGTAATCGGATTTATAGTTTCTTGGTTTTCTCGCAGGAAAAATCTACTAATCCGATCAAAATCTGGATTTCGTTTTACAAATGATGATATGTTTTGATCTTTCATGATTCCGTCTACCACTCACTCCCACAACCACATACAACCATAATGATTCTCTATCATAATATAATTTTAATACATTTTCAGCGTATTTTCATTCTTTCTGGATTATGTTCATATTTCAAATTGTTTTCATAAAAGAAAAGTGCGACATGAAAAAGCGTTTGAATTGGATATATCTTTTTCTAACCATAAACAATTTTGTACTAATTCTCCATTGATATTTATATATAAACATTCAAATAGCCATCGACAATATAACCATGATACATAATTAATAAAATGTTCATCAGCTGTTCGATCACATATTTCTTATTCTTCATTAATTGATATTTTATGAATATTTTCTTGTTTCTGTATTCAACGTTCAGAACAGAATAATTCTTCACTTTTAGGTTTTAAATTAGGGTGTGGGTGTGAGTCTTCTCTTCTTCTATATCTACACTCTAACCAAAATTTTCACCGATCATCGTAAGTATCTGAGGCTTCTAAAAGATTCATCTATATACATATTCACACCCATATCATTTTTTTCTTCTATACAGACAATGAACAGAAATGTATTAACATATTATGATGCATGATGTGAAAGTTTTGCATTGAAACTTGCTTTTGAGATAGCATTGTAGCGGAATATCATATATTTTTAATCTGTTGTTTTTGTTAGGCAGAGCAGTGTCTAGCATTAAAATATTTCAAAGCATTTGATTGAAAAATTTTCTTGAAGGTTTCAAAATTACTTTCCAACTTTGATCGCAATTTTTCCATCCGAATATATTTGTTTGACCTTTTTCATAAGTTACTTTCTATATCGAGCGATATATAAATGTACAGGTGCTCATTACAATGGAGTGGACAGCAAAAGTTTGATTAGAAAACTCATTTTAATGTTTGCAACACGAAAACAAATTCTCATTTGAATATTCCACTGAGAATCAGTACTCTATATCAAATAATATTGTTAGGAAGAGGACATAATAAGGGATATGTTCTTATCAGGCAGCTTTTTTGACGACTTTAGCTATTCACGCTCAAGCACTTTGTGAAGAACATATCAATAAGATGTGGCAAAAAGCTGAAGACATTGGAATGTCTTATGGCTTTGACACGTTGTATCCTGGCTTAAGAGAGCCTCTTTCTCGTTTCCGCAATTCATGTGACTCTGATTTAGTGATACAATTATGACAACAGCAAAATCGATTTTTTCCTCCAATTACACCATAGAATGTATCCATGTTTTGTTTTTCCATCTGTTGCAACACAGATGAGTCTTAATTTAACGGTAGTTGCATAACAGCTACATGAGGGTGTGGGTGTGGATGTGGGTGTGGGTGGGTGTGGGTGTGGGTGTGGGTGTGGGTGTAGGCGTGGGTGTGGGGGGTGTAGGTGTGGGTGTAGGTGTGTGTGGGTCTGGGTGTGAATCTCAGTGTGGG